ATTGATTGCCGTACCAACCGATAGAACGACTGACATCTCCAGAAAACTTGTTTGTACGTGCCTCTTTCCCAAGCCAGCCTCCTTCACTGCTAGTGGGAAAGAGGGTTTTGTTAACGGCCTTGTCGACGGTTTTTCTCAGTTTTTTCTCCACTGTCGTTCCACTTCGCATCTCTATACTCAGTTTCAATCGCCATAATACCCCCTTATTGAGCCCGACTTTTGCCTTTAAGCTTCTTGTCGTTGGTTTCAGACTTCAACGGCGGAGCATTTGAATTCACGGGTCGTAATTACAGGGAGGTCAAAAAAGTCATTTTGCCCATGGCACATCAGCAAACTTTTTGCCACCCAGCGTGTCGCCGTTGATGAAACTTGCCATCAACAGGAAGCAAGCTTTCTACAACATCATCTGCCGACACCGTAGAAAATATGGAAGCTCATAGTAAAAGCGTCAACCTGAAGCTGGCATATAACCTCTTCAGCGGTTTTCAGCTGGTGGATAGCTCCTTAGAACCAGTAGCTCTGAATCCCTTCAAACCAGCGTTTCGGATATCGACAGAGACAAGCTCTCAGTTGTGGACTTCGCTGGACCGTTTCCAAAGTGCAGTGGCAAGTTCTTCTCATGTCGCCACATTATAGCTTCGGCACTTCCTTATGGGCTAGACAACATGGTGTTACGGTAGAGGACAGGTGGCCTAAGAAGTGATTACCCCTAGTCAAGGCTAACCGCATAGCGCAGTTCAAATTCAAATCGCAGTTTTCTCTTCAAATTTTCACTAGTGATGCCCTACAGGAGCTCGATTTATGAGTGAAAACAAAGAACTACAGCCTCGCTTCAAAAAGAAATTACAAAAAAGGAATTACAGCCTTGTTCTCATATGAGAAACATGATACTTAGAATGTAAGATTCACCTACGTAGCGATATGTTCAACAAAGTTAGTTAGAACAACAAGGTTTTTTTCTTTTCCACCACATTAATCGTACGCTTTGGCATGCACAGGAGAAGTGACAGAATTATTTCGCGCAGTACCCGCTTCCAGATCTCTGATATATTAGTCATTGCTCGACGTTGTCCATTCGTCTGCACATAGCTAAAGTTTTGCATACCCCATATCTTCTCTGTTGGATTCAGTCTGGATGGATAAGATGAGTGGGCATTAGGAAGGTTTTTTGAGGTAATGTCATTGACGGCGGCGGCATCTCCTTAAATTGAGAACGCTCTCGTAGAACTCGCTGCTGTTAGGGAGCTACCTTCGAGAGAACCTCTGGTAGTTTTTGCAGCTTGCACGATGTGTGCTTAAGACAGTGAGGCGGTTCCATGTTCAATTTCGATGATACCAATCTTACTTCATGAACCTCCAATACTTTCCAGCGGACTTCCCTTCGAGCGATATTATTTCAATAATAAAGTACTTCAGGCTAGTGCGAGATGTCTCGCAATGCAAAGGAGAATGAGAAAAAAAAACAAAACGAAAAAGTGTGCATGCTCGACGTGCTGTTAATGTACAAAATAATGTCACACTTGTGATCTGATGGCTGGATCTGATTGGGTTTGCCAGATCATAATCACTATTATGGAAGAGATTTCGAACTGAATTGACAGGACCATTTCTTTGTCAGACCAGAAAAAGTCCCACCATTTTACCTGTTGTCAGACCATTTCGAGACATGTAAGGAACCCTCCGGTAGCACCGATCGAGGGATATGGAAACGAGATTTGTAACCAGCATCTGAAAGCGCATAAGTTTCAACACATTATTAGAACAGCGACATCTGTCTACCATTCTTCGCTGATACTCTGCAGTTATCTTGTGACACAACTACTACAATTCGAATGTGTTGGTAAACATGGCGGGGCTCCACGATAATTTGAAGCAAGTGATTATCTATTTTCGTAACGGAAGACTTTGACATGAGAAGCTTGAGCTGTTCACATAAGATATGCAAT